CAGTTAAAGGACCTTCGCTTTCTTTAAATGTAAATGTTTTGTTTCTTTAAAATTAAGTAGTAGCAGGTAGGCAGATAGAAAAAGAAAAAAGAAAGCGACAGCCCTCCAGTGTCCCAGCCTTGAAGATAAGTACTGCTGTCAGTTAATATATGGAGAATAGGAATTTGATTTTCCTCCTTTTCCTCCAGAGCCAAATCCTATGTTGGTTTAAGCAGTGCTCTGGGGTGGCTCTGTGCTAAAATGAGTCAGGCGAAATATCCCTACACTGGTTTTCTTGCTTGTTTAGGAATGTTAAGATCCTTTGTAGAAATAATAGACGCAATAGAGAACCTGAGGATTTCCCTGGCCTCGCCTTGGTTAATTCTGCTTCTAACGAGTTTATTTTAAAGGAGCACAAATGCTGTTCGATACCTCCTGCACCACCCAGAATCTGTGACAACATGCTGAGTTAACAGTGACTGGGCTATAAGAACGCTTGTGGCCATCAGGTCAAGTAGAGACCAGATGTGTTTCTTGTGGACATTCGTCGGTATCCCCTGATCCGATAATCATGATTACTGCGAACGGGCCCTATGCTGAAGACTTGTACCTACATTTTTACCTTGCATCCTACTAACAACTCTATGCCCGGGTATTATTGCTGTCTCACCTTACAGATGAGGAAACAAGTTCACATTAACTAGTATGAAACCAGGGTTCGGACTTATCTCCAGGGTTCAACTCTAACACACATACCCTTAGCCACAGTTTGCCTCATGCCCAGGCCTTGTGATCAGACAGGATATAAATATTTGAGGGACAACTGAATCAAATATTTGGAATCAGAAGCGAGGAGCCATGTTTGTGTTCATACTTGTATTCCCAGCATACCACCGAGATCTGAATATGATCATTGCTTAGTAAATATTTATCGAAGGCATGAACGGTTGCCGTTTATGAAACTATGCTTATAATTTGTGCTCCAGTAGTAAGGAATAGGTCCCAATATTTATACTCAAAAGGGCCTTTTTTAGGGAGTGAATGTGCCCAGAAATGTGGGGACGTGCAGGGAGTGCTGAAGTTGGCCAAGGGAAGAGATTGCAGCATGACAGAGGTTGCCAAATACGCTGGCAAACAGTCCATCCTACAACCAGCCCTCTCTCACCTTGGAGGTGTTGACAATCCAGGAACACAGAACAAAAAACTCTGGGAAACGGGGAGAGGAGGGAAGAGCTAGGGGTTCAGGTGCCACAATGTCTCCGGCAAGTCTGGGGGAGGTGGCCGTCCTCGGCTGTGATCCCAGACTAACCCGGAGGTTTCTAGATGATTGTGTCGGAAAGTGTGAATGTGCGTGGTATTCTATGTTCATCAGGAATTTTTCTCCTTCGGATCTTGTGGTACAAAAGGTGGCATGTGCTTTCTGCTGGACATAAGCTGCGTAACTGCCACCGAAGAAGGAAGCACCAGCAGAAGGAGCCCCAGGATACAAAACCACAGCATGTGCTCACTCACTTTTGGGGAAATGGACATATCTCAGGGACAGATCCCTGATTCGTTCATGCATGAAAGCCTGAACAAAAATCTTTCTAGAATGTGCCCTGCCTCCTTAAATTGGAGCTACGGAAAGTTATTAACCTTTTATTGGGGACCGTGGACAGAAAATGCCTATCCATTGCCATGGGGTGGAGGTGGCATTGGAATATCGCCCTGTCAGGGTCCTGCAGCCCTGCTCCCAGCTCTGCTGTCCCTGCTCCGGCTTCCAAGCCAGCCACCCCCCAACCCCCAAGTTTCTGTTTGCATTTCCAAATCCACCGCGGCCTGGAAAACAAGCTGCTGGAGGTAGCCAAGGACCATGTTATTCTCTGACTCAGCGATTCGAACTTTTACACTCTCATCTGCCCCACGTTTGCAGAGATGGACGCTGAAGGATGCTTGCTGCAGCAGCACTGTCGGGCACGGTGAAAACTTGTCCTGAAAGTGTATTTCTAGGTAACGGTTAGGTTCGTATTGAGGAATGCTGTGTTGCTTAAAATAATGTGGCGGATCTGCCTGTGGAATGTCGTCTAAGACAAACTTACTGAGAAAAGCGAGTTATGAAATAGAAGTCCGCGATCCCCAGTTCGAATGGCCGTGCCCCCTGCCTGCCCATTCCCTCCGGTACCCCAGCACCGGCACAGTTCCAGGGCCCCCTCTGGTCAACCCTTACCCTCACCCTGTAGCCACGGGGGCCCTTTTGGTCCCTCCTGTCACCAAGCTCTCCCTCAGGTCCCCCTCTGGCACTGTCTGGCCCCAAGGCCTGTTTGTTTCCACTTCTCACTTTGTTGGTTTGCCGGCTGACTGGGCTTCTCTTCCCCAGGACGTGGGCTCAGGGGCCAGGAATGGCCCTCACTTAAAACTTGCTGTGTGGATGAGTGACTCCAACTTACAAAATGAAGTGAGACGTACTTCTTAAAATATATATAAAAGAGAGTATTTTGATGGAAAAGCTCTATGAGTTTTGCCAAGAGTCCATATTCAAAACCTCAATTCCTGAGGTTGCTAGGGTGTCGCTCTGCTTCTAGAAACTATGAGGAAGGGTGAGCGGGGAGGATGCCCCCGTCCCGCCCAGGGTGGCCGAGTTAAGCATGTTATGTAAGTCAGCTTTGAGTTTTGGATAGGAAGTTCTGCAGCATTTGGCCTGGATACATCATGGTGATTATTCAAGAGAAGTTGCTGGGAAACTCTCCTCACTTGAAGCAGAACTTCTGCAGAGGCTCAGTCTGAGGACAGTTGCATCCTCCACTCCGCCTCGCCGAGGGAGGGGTAGGGAGACCACTGAAGTCTGGCTCTAGGAGAAGGGAAACGGGGACTCTTAAGTAGAAGGGCGATTCTGGGTTCCTGCAAACCCAGGATTATCTTATCGGTTAGAACGGAGGATGGACTCTTAAAAATCCAGCTGTGGAGATGGACGCAGCAAATGCGGGGCTCTGAAAGGCAGGTGGATGCTAGCGAGTAGTCTTTCCAGGGTTCGAGTCTAAGATCCGGGGAAAAGTGAGGCCCTGCCCGGGGAGGAAGGGATGAGGACAGTGGGAATTTACCAGACTGGCCCACTTCTCTGCTTCACCCTTCCTGATATTTACAAAATAACAATTAAAACTTTTTCAGGACAAACTAATTTAGTACGTTGATATGCAGACCTACCTGGCCCTGGCTCTTAGAAATATTTAACCTGACAGAGCCACAGATCTAGAACACTGCAGCGGGGAGACCCACTGTGTGTGGGGTCCTGGCTTGGGAACTTTATACCGGGTGTTGCATTTAATCCTCACATTAGCCCCCAGGTGCATTATCCCTAGAGACTGATGAAGCATCCACAAGTGAAGGGATGGCCCAAGGGCACAGCCTGTGAGGGGTAGGGCTGAGATTGAACACAGGTCTGTCTGGCTTAGAGATCAATGCTTTTTCCAGCATCCAGAATAAAAACTCAAACTCAAATCCGCGGCAGAGCCGTGAGCAAACCATAGAGATGGAACGGCGCGAGGCCAGCCAGACTCGCCCCGCGCACTGCCTCTCCTCAGGCGCCTCTGGGAAGCAGTCGGAGGTGAGGCTGTGGAACCCGAGCCTGCACTCAGAGTGGCAAACGGAACAAATGCTCAGCAAATAGTGGCAGAGCCTGTGCCCAGCCCTCCTCCCTCCTCCCTCCGCCCTGGGTGTTAGCTCTGCGCCTCCCATGAACTTCTCTCTCCTCCACATTCGCCGGGAGGAGGAGGCTGATTCTCAGAGAGGGGAGCAAGGGTGCGGGGCTTGGCCCCCGCCCGGCCAAGTCCATCTTGAACTCAGGTCTACCTGGCTTTGGGCCCAAACTCTTTCTGCCACACCCATTCCCCCCACTGAATACTACCAGTCACTCACTTCCCAGTCCTCCTGCCCCTCCTGCAGGGGCGAAAAACAAAGGTGTGTTTCCCTCAAGATTAATGTCAACTACTGTGAAATCACAAACACATATTTCCAAAGAGCCTGACCGATGTTTACCTGTGTTCTCGGGCCAATGCCAAGAGCCTCTTAAAGGTGGCTATACAACCACGGGGGACTGGCCGCAAGCCAAATGTGAGCCTGGGAAGATGACCCCTGGGAGCCCCTTCCTGACCGGCTCCTTCCCGTGTTGCTCACTCACCACGGCCGTCAGCACTGCACGCTTATTCCATGCGAAGCTCGGTGCAAGCACCTGGGGCCACCACTTGTCCCTTTATGAGGGGCACTGTGGTGATTCCCACTTTACAGATGAGGAAACGAAGGCGTGGGGAGGTGACGTGCTTTGCCCCACATGACACGACGAGGCGCAGAAGTGCCAGAATTCATCCAGATTCTCGTCTCAACCCCTGCTCTTGACCACTGAGCTGGGCCAGCCCTCTGCGGGTCCTGCTGGCCCTGAGATCTCAGGCTCCAGCATGAGCTGAGCTCTGGGCTTTGCTCCATGGCTCCCTTCATCGCTTAGGGCTCAAGTCAAATGCCTGCTCCTCAGCGGCCCTCCCCGGTCATCCCGGCTAAAGTTCTCTGCCCTCCCCCCTTTCATACCGTCTCTGGATCCGATTTTTTTCCTTTGCACTTAGCAAGGCAGTCTGGGATTGCCTTGTGTATTGATTTGCTTCTCTATTTTCTGTGCCTGCCAAAGTGCCAGCCCCATGAGAGAAAGGTTCTTATTGGGTTTGGTTTCCACTGTGTCCTCAGCCCTAAAACTGTGCCTGGCCCATCACAGGTGTTCACTAAATATTTGCTGAATGGCCAAAAGAATAATCCAACTCGGTTCTCACAACAACCCCGTGCACTGGTGTGGTAGAGAAAAGATGCTGCCAATTCCTTGCTGCTCCTCCCAAGGAATCCGGACGTGGCCTGTGACACACTTTAACCAATGGAATTTGGTGTCGGAAATGAGGCCCTGTGACTTCTAAAGCTAGATCTTAAGAACCTTTTCAGCTTCTGCTTGCATCTCCTGGTACGCTCTTTCTGGGGAAGCTAGCTGTCGAATGAGAAGTCTGACTAGCCCAAACCTGCCATATGCTCTGGAAGCCCAAGCAGCCATGGGAAGCAGACATGAGTAAAGAAGCCATCGTGCACATCCAGTCCCAGGTGCCCTCACTTTGCGACCATATGTATAAGCCCTAGAGAGCTCAGGAGAGCCATTCCCAGCTGAGACCAATCAATGGACACAACTGTAAGAGGTAACAGTAGGTCATTTTGAGCCACCAAGTTTCGAAATGATGTTACACGTCATTATGTACAGATAACTGATAAAGTAGGAAGGTTCTCTTCATTTTTCAGATCCAAGAAAACAAGGCACTAAAAGATCAAATGACTTACCCAAGGTCAGCAGAGTGGGCACTCGAGCTCAGATTGTCTCCAAGGCCTGTGCTTTCAACCTCAAGGCCACACATCTCTGAAGCTAATCCATACTTCTGATTTTTTTTTTTTTTTTTTACATAGCTGGTGGTCGGTTTCGGGTTTAGAGCTGGTCCTGAGAACTTTCTGCCTTCTCATTATAGATCTTCATAAACAACGAGTGGCATGACGCCGTCAGCAAGAAAACATTCCCCACTGTCAATCCATCCACTGGGGAAGTCATCTGTCAGGTAGCTGAAGGGGACAAGGTGAGAACTGGTGACTTACCTTGGGGCAAGGCTGAGCAGGGTGGGGGTGGGCAAGGATAATTTCATTTTTTTATCTTATGTGTTTTCATATGGTTGAAACTTTACTGTGTGTACATTACTTTCATAACTAAAAAATGCCAATTAAAAATTCTGAGTAAATGAATCAACAGAAACTCTTCTTTGCAGACAAAGGTGCTAGACTGTACCCATATTCACTAATTTGCACAGTCGTGGGTTGTAGACTTGGAATTGAATTTGAGAAAATCTAATCTCTCTAGACCTGGAGAGAGGTGCACAGCTGGATGGAAACCTTGTTCCGTAGAATCTGGGTCTCCTGAGACCTAGCTCTGGTAGTATACTGTGTTCGAGTTATATATGCTCATAGTAATTAAATAGTAATTTTTAAAATTAAAAAATTGGACTTTTAGTAAGAATTTCATTTTTTACAATAGAAAAAGCATTGAAAATAATTCAAGAATGCCTCCTGCCCTTTGCTTTAAAAACGTCTTCTACATTCACATGTAAGGCCTTGTTCCCTTTGCTAAAAGCAAGTGTGAGTACTTTTCTGGCTTATAGGGTAGTCTGATGGTACATGTGTTTAATATTAATGAAAACCGGGCTCTCCACCTCCTGATACACATCTCCCTACATGAAAAATGTCGCTGGGCTGATGTCACTGCTTCCGTGAGGAGAAGGAAGCTGGGTACGCCTGCATTCGTTGGGGACTGCAGTCATCTCGGAAGGACTGGTTAAGTTCGTGGGGCTTGCTTTCTTAGGAAGGGAAAAATGGTCAAATTCTAAGCTCTGACTCTGGAGTGCCTCTCTCTCCAAAACTCTGAGGGGTTTTGAAATAAAAATATGGAAATGGAAACTGTTGGGTACATTCCCTCTGTGACTCTGGAGAGTAACGCTCGCCAGGCGCAGTCCTTTGAGGTCGGGAAGGAATGTGAAGGCCGGGTTTCTGCATGGGCACCAGCTGAAGCCCCTGTGGGTGCCTGTGGCAGTGGGGTATTTGGAGGCGGTTACTGTTAAGAAGGCCTGAGCTGCCTCGGTGCGTGTCTTCCAGGAAGACGTGGACAGGGCAGTAAAAGCTGCCCGGGCCGCCTTCAAGCTGGGCTCGCCCTGGCGCCGCATGGATGCGTCTGGCAGTGAGTTCTCATCCCACATGGTGAATGGGTTCAGGGCATCCCATGGACAGTCAGGAACGGGCCACATGGCTGATAAATAACTAAATGGCATAGGCCGGACACCTTTGGGTGTGCCCCTACACCAACCAGAGATGCCTCTCAGCATCTCCTTTGATATAGTGGGTTTGGCTAAGAAAGGAGGAGATTGGGGGAGACAGGGGAGCCATGATGGGGAGACTTCCCAGGAGAGGGATCCTCAGCAGTGGAAACCTCTCTTGGAGCCCCTCTGTGTAGTGAGCCTTCTCTTTGGCTGCCAGAGGTGGAAGAAACCAGAAGGTAATACCCTCACCTCTCCCCAATCTGTTCTGTACATACTAGCCAGAGAGAATCTTCTAGAAAGCAAATTATACCATGGTGCTCCACTCCTAAGCCTTCCATGGTGTCCTATGTCCTTAAGATAAAGTCCTGTTCCCTGAGCAGGGTCTTCAAGGCCCTGCCTGGTCTGGCTCCATCTCCCAGCTTGTGCTGGACCATGGCCCTCGCACATGGCTCAGCTCACTTGCCTTCCCTCAACTTCTTGACTGCCAAGCTTCTTTGAGTCTCAGGGCCTTTATACGTGTTGTTCCCTCTGCCTGGGCTGCTCTTCTAATCATTGTCATTTGTATTTTGCCTAGTCACCTCCTACATATGCTATAGCTTCTAGCCTAAAGGGTGTTTCTCACGTTGGAGTTTCTCAGACTGGTTTGGGCAGCCTGGCCTTCTCCTTTATAGCACTCTTAATGCTTGTGATTGCTGATGATTCGTGTCTTTCCTCACTGGCTCTTTGCTCTGAAAACTCCTTGTTTGTCTCTGTATTCTCAGCTCCTGGATCTGGCATAGAACAGAAACTCAAATGTGATTGTGAAATGACTAGATGAGAAGTCGGTTCCTCATTCCTCCCATTCCCCTTCTCATTCTCCCCACCTTTGGAGAGGGAGGGACAATGGGCCAGAAATGCCATGGCGTTCAGTGGCACAAAGTGGCCACCAGCCCTCTCGGTCCACACTGAGCCCCTCTGCTGCTTGTCACCCATTTGCTTTGATTCGTTCCTATGCCGGCATGTCTGTGCTGATCCCATTCTCTTTTCTCAGGCCTTGGAGACCCTGGACAATGGCAAGCCCTACATCACCTCCTACCTGGTGGATCTGAATAAGGTCATCAAATGTTTACGGTGGGGCTCAGACTTCCTGTTCTTTGTTTCGGCTGTGCCAGAGGAGAGGGAGTATCGCTAGGGAGGCAGAAACAGAATCATGTAAAGGATAAACATCTCGTGGGAAAATCCCTCAATACTGAAAATGTAATTCAGTCATAAATGTTTTCTCTTGCGTCTTGAGTCAGTTTTGGTAATTTAAGTGTGAGTTGGATTTGTCTGTATCATCCGGGTTAGCTAATTTGATGGCTTCAGTTCATAGTATTCTCTTGTAATCCTTTTTGTCTCTGTGAGGTCGATCATAATGTCCCCACTTTCACTTCTGATTTTATTTTTTATTTTTTTAATATTATTTATTATTATTATTTATGCCTACGGCAGCTGGTCTTCCTAGGTGGTCTCCCATCCAAGTACTAATCAGGCCCGATCCTGCTTAGCTTCCGAGATCAGTCATCGGGGCGTGTTCAGGGTGGCGTGGCCGTAGACCATGGACCGTGGCTCCACTGGGGCGCGAACCTAGGACCTTCTGCGTGTGAAGCAGACGTGCTAACCGCTACACTGTGGAACCACGTCCTCATTTCTGATTTGAGTCATTTGTGTCTTCTCTCTTTTTTCTTTCTATCTGAAGGTTTGTCAGTTTTGTGAATGTTTTCAAAGAACAACTTTTGGTTTCGTTGATTCTCTCTGTTGTTTTTCTGTTCTCCATTTTCTCTCTCTCTGTTCTTATCTTTCTTTCTTTCCTCTCGCCTAGCTTTGGGTTAGTTTGATCATAAACATTTTAGTGACCTAGAAAAACAAGGTGAGCAATGAGAGCTCTTTGGTTGCCAGTAACAGAGACTCAGTTTAACTTGGGCAACAGAGTCAGGGCTCTTAAATCCAGAAGGCCACTGAGTCTCTGCCCACCCCAGCCCCAGTCCCCACCACTTGTCTCTGGCCAGGAAGAGGCTTTCGTTTCGTGTTTGTTTTTGTTATAGGAGCCCCAGGAAGGACTAGCAACACTTTTTAAATAAAAGGCAACAGGTCATAAAAAAATTCCTCTTTCTACCTCCTTCAGGGCTAGTTTGCATGTTGGAACCTGGCTGCGCACAGCTGGGCTTGCTTCTGTATGCATGACTGTAGCCAGACTAAGCTGCAGTCCCTTAGTTCTGATGCCAAATTTCTGGCCTTGAGTCTGATCACCTGTGGGCCGGGTAGACCGATCATTGTGCAAATAATGGCTGTTTCCCTATGACCATGTGGATGAAGGTGGAGAGGCAGCAGCAGTACCAGAGAAGTAGGGGTTGGACAACATAACAGTTTTCATCCAGGGCAGTTAGGTCACTCAGGGGCAGTGGTAAATTTCTGGAGACATTTTTGGTTGTCACTACTAGGTGAGAAGGGGTGCTACTGGCATCTAGAGCGTAGGCACCAGGATGCTGCTAAAATTTACATCTTACAATGCACCAGAAAGCTAACCACCGTAAAGAATCGTACAGCCCTAAATGTCAACAGTGCCCAAATCGAGACCCTCACTCTGCCCCAGAGAGAGTAGCCTGGTGGATCACGGGCAGAGCCCCACGCCTTCCTGGGTTTTGGCAGTGTGCCTTTGTGCTGATTAAATAACTATTCTGAGGCCTGCAAAACGCATGTAATGCAGACCTGGGTGGCTGCAGTGCCTTGTATAGACTGGCAACTCCTTGGCTATTTTTTCCCCCAGGGGCACAAACCCCTATTCAAACCCTGGTAAACTTTGGTCTCAGGCTAACCTTGCCAGACATACTCATTTCAAAGATCTTTCTTTCACGCTAGATATTTCATCTTTCCCCTAGCCTTCATTTTTTCTACTTCCTGGAAAACTTAACCGTCACATACTATAAACATCTGTTCTTTTCTCCACAGCTCTAATTTGCTATACTTTTCTGTCACTTGTGTCCCTGTCTGTCTAGGTAATAAGCTTTACAAGGGTTAGAGGCCAGCTGATTTGTTTTTCTGGTGTCTGTTTATTCAGTCTTAGTACAGTGCTCTGAACAGAGGAAGTGCCAGCTGTTTGATGTTTTTGCATTTTTCCGCCAGATCCGATCCGTGGTTCTCAGATGCTAAGCTATGGTGCTGAGCTGCTACAACAGTCATAGATAAATCTGAATGTTTATCAAAAGTACCGATTCCTGGGTATCACCCCCTAGAGCCAGACTGTAGGTCAGAAGTAAGCGCTTGGGATTTGGTGTTTTTTACGAGCATCCCAGGTGATTCTGAGACTTAGAAGTTAGTTCCCTAGAGTGAATTATTGTGACCTTAGCAGTTACAGTCTTTCTGGGAACAAGCCAAGAGCACGGGCAATTATCAGAAACCCCCAGTTGGACAGTTTGAGTGTCCTCTTTCTGCCAGGGTTTATAGGGGTCCCTGACAGCCACTGATGAAGCTTGGACTTTCTTTTTTAGCTATTATGCTGGCTGGGCTGATAAGCACCATGGGAAAACCATTCCCATCGATGGAGACTTCTTCAGTTACACCCGCCTCGAACCATTGGGCGTGTGCGGGCAGATCATCCCGGTGAGTGGGAGCCTCGTAATGAATGAATGATTTTTCAGGAGAGCCCTGAAAGGCAGCGACCTCTGACAGGCTCATCGCACAGGTGGGAGGGTCTGTGGGGCGACGCTGGAGGGTGGCCTGGCCTGGCTAGTGGTTGAGAACATGGGCTTTGACAAAGCCAACCTGGGTTCAGGTCGCAGCCCTGCCCCTCATGAAGTCTGTGACCTTCGGCAAGCCATTCTTCCCCTAAGCCTGGGTGTCCGGCCCTAGAAAGCAGAAGTGAACACAGAACCCATCTTTGGGAGGAAGGGAGGGTTGAATGTGACGGGTTAGCACGGAGAAAGTGCTCATGTATGTGAGGCGCTGTTGTTGCGTCCGTCGCCTGCTTCATCATCTGTCTTAAACCTATGATCGAGTCGTGGGGGGCACACGGGGGGTTCCGAGAAGTTGCCGCTGCATCCACTCTCTGGGGAGCCACTTTCCGTAGCTTGGATTTCGGGAGTGTGTTTTTCTTACAGTGGAATTTCCCACTGTTGATGCAAGCATGGAAACTGGGCCCAGCCTTGGCGACTGGAAACGTGGTTGTGATGAAGGTGGCTGAGCAGACCCCACTCACTGCCCTCTATGTGGCCAACCTGATTAAGGAGGTACGTGGATGTCCATTCTGACCTCTAAATGCCCTTGTGTAGGCTGGCTCTAAAGGAGTTCTGGGGAGGGGCCTCAGGGCCCCAAAGTGAGGGGGGGGTGTCTCTGTCGAGCAGGGGCTAAATGCCCCCCTACCACCACACTTCAGCCAAATCTTACCTGTTTTATACCTTGGGCTTCAAAGACCTCTTTGAAGAATGAAGTTGTTCCGAGTGAAGTCCCTGAGGGGAAGGGCCTCAGCTCCAGGGAACTCTGCAAGGCAGGTTCCTAGCTGCACCCTTGGAATTCCTGAGCGTAGGTACCCTGGAAGACTGCTCTGCTCCCCCGTGTCCTGGGCAGGTGGCCCTGGCCTTGGCCTCTCTGGGTAGGATGCGTGCTCCTTCTTCTAGGCCTTCTAGAACAGGAGAGTAATGCCCAGTGTCCCCTGGCTGTTTGCACACAGGCTGGCTTTCCCCCTGGCGTGGTCAATATAGTTCCTGGATTTGGCCCCACGGCTGGCGCTGCCATTGCCTCCCACAAGGATGTGGATAAAGTGGCCTTCACAGGCTCCACTGAGGTAAGGTATCCCCCGGACCTCAAGCTGGTGGCGTGTTTGGCTCAAGGTCCCACTGTCCTAAAAGGATGAGGAGTTATTAGCCTCTGGGTATTGCGTGGCGGGTATGGGAGTTCCGCCCCAGGACCACCTCTGGGTGAGTGTGCCAAGAGTATGCAGGGTGGAGCCCTTTGTAGGTGTCTGACACTCCCGCTGCGGTCAGAGGCGGTGGGGGGAGTGGGCTGGAACAAAGAAGCCGGACTGTTGAGACTTCACATAGCCCAGAGCTGACCACGGGCCCAAGGTCAAAGCACCTGGGCTGTGTCAGGCTCCTTGACCAGCACTGCGCTGGCAGTTAAAGAGCATGGATGGGCTTCGGAAAGATATGAGTTCCTATTCCCGCCTTGCCATTACGACATGGGGTGAGTCGCTGAATGTCCTTGAGGCTCTGTTCCAAGGATGGCAGCGTCTGTGCAGCAGAGACTGTCTGTGTAGTGTAGTGGGGAAGGCAGTGGTGGGCTCTGGAATCGATGGTTTCGGCAGCACTTACCAGCTGTGCAACCTTGGGCAAGTCACTTGGCCTCCTGCAGCCTCCGTTTCCCCATCTGGTAAATGGGATGATAACCGCACCCACCTCACCGGGATGGAGTGAGTGCGATAAAACTCCCGAAGTGTTCAGCAGAAGTCTAGCCCCGGGGCAAGTGAATGAATGACTGAGTGGGGGCTGTTGTCATGCGGCTCCAAGTGCCAGGTCCTGGAGAGAGAAAGACCAATAAGATGCCTGTGGTTCCTTAAACATAATGTCCTTGAAAGCTGGGACACATTCCTCCTAAAGAGGTAGCTTTTTCCTACCCCTGAATTCTTGGAAGGTTTCACTTTATGACATCAGGGAAGGCGGCTGAACAGTGTCATGAATGTCATCTTTGAACAGCTCCCCCTACCCGCCCTTCCTGAGGTGAAGACATCTTCAGACATTCAGTCTGTCCGCAGGGAGGACAGAACAGTGACTAAGACGACGCTGTCAGGTCCTGGTTCTTTCTTTGCTTAGTCACCACCCAAATCAATGCCTAAAGCGGACACTGAGAATCACAGAGGGGATGGTGTCCTGACCGAGACACATGTGTTCATTCAACAAATAAGTACGGGGGCGGCTTTGTGCCAGGCTCTGAGGAGACGGAGGTGAGAAGCACTCCACCTTTGTCCTCATGGAGTGAGGGGCCACATTCAAAACATCGTGGAAAGGAGGCAGGGCAGCGGGTCTGAACCGGTGCTGGGCTTGGGCTGCCCAAGTGTGAATTCTGATTCCATATTGACCAGCTGTGTGACTTCAGCATGTGACCTGACTACGCTGAGCCGCAGCTCCCACACTTCTATATCAAGGCAAAGAGCCGCCCCTACTTCTGAAGTCGTTGTGAGGACTGAACTTAATGTGCACAAAGCACTTAGCACCGTGCCTAGTATGAAGCCACACAGCAATGACTCTGCTTGTGCAGTTATTGTCATCGTCATCCTGGGAACTCAGAGGGGTGGGGCAGTGCAGTAAGGAATGGCCAGATTTGGTGAAATTTTCCAGGTCCCTTGTAGTCCGGCTACTTGAGTCCTCAAGTTGCGGGGTCCTCTGTTCTGTCCTGGGAGCATTTGGTCCCTTCTCCTCCCCTGAGAGCTCGTCTTTTCCTGCTTCCTTACAGGTTGGCCAGCTAATCCAGGTTGCTGCGGGGAGCAGTAACCTCAAGAGAGTGACCTTGGAGCTGGGGGGAAAGAGCCCCAATATCATCATGTCAGATGCCGACAGTAAGTTTTCGGGGGGGAGGGAGTCTGGCTTTGTAGGCAGCCACTAGCTGTCCATGCTGCGGTCCCTCCCTCCTGCGGCCCTCGCCACCCACCGGGACGGTCTCTGCCCCAGGGCGTCGGGAGGAAGGCCAGGCTCCTCAGCACAGCCCTGCGGCCAGCACAGGCCTCCTCGCTGCAATTGTCTGCGCTTCGCTGAGCCGCTTGGCTGCCCAGCCGTACCGCGTGCTCTCAGCCCGGTCTTCCTCTGTCACAGCCTTTTCCCTGTCCTGCCGAGCTCCCAGATCTGCCTTCCCCGTGGGAGCCTTCCCTGACCACCACAGGCCAGCTGGGTGGGTCCTCCGGCTGCCCTCGGCTCCATGACCACTGTGGGTTTTGGCTGCTACTCTTCGTGTCTGTCTGCCGCTCGGTCCCCACACGCACAGAAGGGGACAGAGTGGCAGACAGACACGAAGAGTAGCGGTCATAACCCACAGGGGTCTGGCACCCGGCAGGCTCGATGCTGTTGGCGGCGTGCATGCGTCAAGGGGGCGGGCAGCCAGGTCGTCCTTCTCCCCTAATGGCTGCTGCTTCCTCCCCAGTGGACTGGGCTGTGGAGCAGGCCCACTTCGCCCTGTTCTTCAACCAGGGCCAGTGCTGCACTGCGGGCTCCAGGACCTTTGTTCAGGAGGATGTTTACGCCGAGTTTGTGGAGCGGAGCGTCACCCGGGCCAAGTCTCGGGTGGTTGGGAACCCCTTTGACAGCCGGACTGAGCAGGGGCCACAGGTACGCTGGCAGCTGTAGGTGGGTCTGGGTGTCCGGAACCAGCATGGAGAAGCAGAAAGGGCCTCAGACTCGGAGTCAGGCGGGTCTGGCTTCAAGTCTTGGCTCTGCCGTTTAGCGGCTGTGTGTCCCTGGGAAGCCTCATGCCCTCCCTGAGCTGCCATTCTCCTGTCTTGACACCCACACCTCCTAACTCACGTGGTGGCTGTGAAGTGGAACTTAATGGTGGAAAGCACTTTGTAAATTACACACACAGCATAACTACTAGGGGTGTCTGTGCAAAAGGGAACGCGTGCTTCCAGGACCTCGGCCATCGCAGAGATGCATCCATCAGGACACATGCGGGCCTGTCACCCGGTTACCTGGAGAGGAGGGTGGAGGGCCATGGCATGAAGAGCAGAGTGACTTTATTTCACTTTGTGCTCTTCTGAGCTGTTTGATTTAAAGAAAAAAAAAAAAATTTTTTTTTGTTTTTTTACCATGACCGTGTATTCATTTTAATCAATAAAACTGTAGCCAGTGATACTTAATTATAAGAAATACGGTGCCTCTCCCCGCCATTTCCTCTCACGTCTTGGTCCTTTTTCCAGCATTTTCCTTGGACCCAACCTGTCCTGGGCTCACTCTCCACGGGGCTCTGCGCTGGCCTCCTCCAGCCATGCCCTCCCAGGGACCAGGAGTCCACAGGGCCGGGGACGCTCCCAACTCCCACAAGGCCCTGCCCCTGTGGCCACAGGTGCTTCTGCAGGCTCCATCCTCCTGAGGGTGTCTGAACTGCGGCGTCCACCCCGCAGGCTCCAGGGCTGGCCAAGGCACCTTTTTTATTTAAAAAAAAAAATCAACAGACTTTATTCTTTTAGAGCAGTTTAGTTTACAGGAAAATGAGCAGAAACTGTAGAGTTCCCACAGACCACCAGCCCCTCCATCCCCCTCGTTCCCTTATTATTAACATCTTGCATTAGTGTGGTACATTTGTTATAACCGATGAACCAATATTAATATTATTAACTAAAGTCTAGTTTATCTTAGGGTTCACCCAAATTCTATGGGTTTCAACAAATGTAAAATTGTGAAGACACGTGTCCATCATTGCATTTACGGCCCTAAAATTGCCCTGTGCCCCACTTATCCACCCCTCCCCCCAACCCCTGGCAGCCACTGATCATTTCACCATCTCTACAGTTTTATCTTTTCTCTACAGAACGTCATATAGTTGGAATCGTACAGTATATAGTCTTGTCAGATTGGTTTCCCTGCCCCCAAATTGGCTCCTGTAACTTAGCAATATGCATTTAAGGTTCCTCCATGTATTTTCATGACTTGACAGCTCGCTCCTTTTTATGCCTGAATGGATGTACCGCCTGGTCTTTATGTGCTCCTCTGCTGCAGACCCTTAGGAGGGTTCTGCTTCTTGGCTATCGTAGACAGTGCTCCTACAAATCCCAACATCTCTTTTTCTGTCTTATTTTACTTTGTGGTTTGCGGCTAATTATTAAGTGATACAAATTTCTATTAAAATTGAATTAAAAAGTGTTTAAAGTAAAACATAAGACCTCTCCCTTGCTTCCCTCATGTCCATCCCCCGTAGGTGAACCCCCCACATACACACACAGTTAGGTTTTTATGTGTGTTTTAACAAAAACAGGATTATATGACGTGTATTTATTCTACAATCTTTCCCCCCTTTTTACAGAATATGTTAGGCTATCTTTCTATGTCAGTTCTATTAATGACGACACAATATGTGGATGTACCTTAATTAATCTGTCTCTCTAGTAATGTATCTTAGAATTATGTCTGTTTTTTGCTTTTACAGAGTGCTCTCCAGTGAATATCCTTGTTCAGGTCCCTTTGTCACATGTAGAATAAATTCCTAGAAGTTAAATAGCTGGGTCAAAGGGAATGAACATTTAATTTTTGACCGATGTTCATTTCATAAACTACTTGCCGAAAGAGCTGTACCTGCTTACGATCCTTCTTTTTTAAGTTGAGCTACAACTGACATACAATGTATTTATTAGGCCTTCTAACAGTGTGTGAATATTATAGTGTATTTAAGATACCCTTGCCATCATTGTATTTTCTTACTATTTTCAATGTTTATTAATCTCATAGTTGAAAAATAAAAACTATGGGTTTGCTCTGCATGTCTTTGAGGGCTGATGAGGTTGGTTGAACCTTTTTTCTTATGTTTATTAGCCCTTGGTATTTCCCCTTCTGAGCTTTGCTTAGTCATGACCGTGGCCCACTTCCCAGTTATCTCCTTGCCAGTGTGGTTCTAAGCCTGAAGCCAGGAGAGGCCTGGCTTTAACTTTCTGTAACTCTGGGCTCTTTCTCCCACAGGTGGATGAAACTCAGTTTAAGAAGATCCTTGGCTATATCAAATCTGGGAAAGAGGAGGGGGCAAAGTTGCTATGTGGTGGAGGGGCAGCCGCTGACCGTGGCTACTTCATCCAGCCCACTGTGTTCGGGGATGTGCAAGACAGCATGACCATCGCAAAGGAGGAGGTTAGCACGGGCTGGCAACTCAGGGGAATGTTCTTACAAGTGAACAGTTCAGCTCAACATCTTGACACTGTGACCCAGCAGCTGGCTTTGGGCTAAATCTTGGTTCTATGCCTAGGACAGATAGTTTACAATTCACATGTGATCTTGTCACTCCTCTTCAGCCTCCTACGGCTACCCACTGTCCGGGAGAATGTCTACATTCCCCGGCATAGCCTACAGGCCCATTGTGTTCTAGTCCCTGTGAGCCACGAATCCAGGAACGATGCTGCCCAGCCTTTCTGGGGTCTTCGTATAAGCAGGACATTGTACTAGACCAAAGGGCTGACTTCCCCAGTGGCGAGAGTTCCTTGGTGTCCACCCCTCAGCGCTCATTACAATGGCAGGGCAGCAGTTCTGTCTCATTGGTTTATTTTACAAATATTGAGCGCCAACTGTGTGCCAGGCCCTCTGCAGACCCTGGAGAGCCAGCGGAACCCATAATGTGTTCTCTGCCCTCACTCCACTGCCCCTGGCTGCATTCAGCCCTGTAGTGGCCCTACTGGAGGAAATGTTATAGTGTCACTCCCTTTCACGTATAGTTCATAGTGAAATAATATTAAAATGCAAAATCAGGGTAATAAAGTCCAACACACTTGTGCTTCTCCTCCCATCATGAATACTTTGATTTTTTTTTTTTTAAATCTCAAATATCAATTTTCCGGAAGGGTTGGGCGAGGGCGCCTCTGCTTGGCTAGTGCCCGAAGCGCACGATGCCGCCTCATGTCCTTGCTGCAACCATGTGAGCTCCGGGCAGGCTTCTCCCTCCGTCTTGACACTTTCCAGTCCTGGCATCAGCCACTTCTTTAAGAAGTCCTAGTTTCCTCTGGGGATTTCATGAGAATGGGTGCTGGGTGGGCCTGGAACTGTTTCTCTCCCTGCCCTTCACCCCTCTCGGGTCTGGCCAGATTCTGTTCCCGTATAACAGCTTGACTGTCACTTCTGTGGAGTCCCTCTCAGACACCCCTCCTCCCCAGCACTCAGGCCCAGTGACTGCTCAGTGCACTGCTTCTAATGGTTGCATTCTAGTCACCTGATGACATTATGATCACTGACAGTCTGTCCCCCTGAGAGCAGCCATACCCCAACAGTAACAAGCACACTGAGCTGCGATGTCTTGGTTCCTAAATCCCGTTCTTCACTAAAATGAACCAGGATTCCTTGAAGAAATGGCTCATTCCAAGAATAGGGCAGGGAAAGTAAAGGATAACCCTGCATGTCTTGGGAGCAGAGACTGTATTTTGTTTATAGTTGTTTCTTCAGCATCTAGTGTGTGCCTTGTTGAATGACTGACATATTTTTTGACACTAAATCCATGTGCAACGTGCCAGTAATGCGTACGTTGCAGGATTATTTAGAAATAAGATATGGTCTGTAAAGCATGGGGCATATAGAAGGTAGCTGATCCCTGTCAGCTTCCTTCCCTTTGTGTTTCAGTGAGCTTGGGAGCTGTCGTCTTCCTCTGGAACTGTTAGGGTACATCTAGGGTCTTGTTCCCACATCTGGGAACATCTGCTCAGGTCTGTGAAAGCTGGATAGCAAGTGGTTCTATGTCTGCCACACCCTCCCACTCTGCTCTCTCACCCCAGATCTTTGGGCCAGTCATGCAGATCCTAAAGTTCAAGACCATCGAGGAAGTCGTCGAGAGAGCCAACAGTTCCAAGTACGGGCTGGCCGCAGCTGTCTTCACCAAGGACTTGGACAAAGCCAATTACGTGTCCCACGCGCTCCAGGCTGGTACAGTGTGGTAAGAGCCTCTCAGCAGCTCCTCACACCTAGGCAGGGACCCCCAAAGCCAGGGTCTTCTGGAATCCGGTGCTCACATGTCAGAATTTGGGGTACTGGGCTCAGGGCATGCTACAGCAGATAGATGAGAGCTTTTCCTGCCCACTGTGCTCCGAGAACAGTGCATATGCCCATGCAGCTGTTCTCAGGCAAGCAGATGGATGACCAGGGACTTCTGGCCAAGCTGTGACAAGGGTGGGAGACCAGGGCTAAGGGCCTATACCTTAGGCCCATTAGGATGGCTGTAATTTTAAAACACAGAAAATATCATGTTAGTGAGATGTAGAGAAACTGGAATCCTCACACGTTGCTGTGGGGAATGGAAGATGGTGTAGCCGCTGTGGAAGACAGTTTGGCAGGTCCTCAATGAGCTAAACATAGAACTAGCACAGGCCCCGGTAATTCCACTCCTGGGCACCTACCAAGAGAAACAGAAACGTACGTCTGCACAAAAAAAAGTGCACCTGAATGTTCACAGCAGACTAATCACAATAGCCAGAAGGTGGAAACAACCCAAATGTCTACCAGCTGATGGCCAGATAAACATGTGTGGTCCGTTCGTGCAGTGAAGTACTGTTTGGCCATAAGCAGGAACGAGGTGCTGGCACACGCTATGACATAGCTGAATCTTAAAAATGTGATACTAAGTGGAAGAAGCCAGACACAAAAGGCCACACATGTTATATGACTCCACTTGTAGGAAATGTCCAGGACAGGCAAATCCTTAGAGTCAGAAAGATCAGTGGCTACCAGGGATGGGGGGCAGGGGGATGGGGAGTGACCGCTTAATGGGGACAGGGTTTCTTTTGGGAATGACAAAAATATTCTGGAATTAATCACTGGTGATGGTTTGGACAACATAAATATGCTATAAAACACTGAATTGTACACTTTAAAATGGTGAGTTTTAAATTCAATTAAAATTTAGTAGCTTTTAAAAATTGCAAAAAAAAATGTGAAGCACAGGATAGAGAATATAGTCAATAATGTTGTAATAACTGTGTTTAGTGCCAGGTGGGTACTAGAGTAATCGGGGGGATCACTTTGTAAATTAGATAAACAACTAACCACTGTGCTGTATACCTGAAACTAATATAAAATAATACTAAGTGTCAACTCTAATAGAAAAATACAATTTTTTTAAAAATTGCAAAAAAAGCTTAGCACCTAATTAGCAAAAGTGAGTCATTAAAATGGGATGTACCCTGTTATTGACATCCACCTGTGACCACATCAGGAAGGACAAAGATGACTTATAGATTGGTTTCATGAGGCTTGCTTTCAACTCCTCCATGGCTGGTTTTATATAGTTCTTCCCATCTATTTTTTCTCAATCAAATTTTAGGGCAATATAGGAGGTTCGAGGGGTGTATGACACATATCCCCTAAGAGTTACTTCTGAAATCTTGTTTCAAATTATAGGGTTAACTGCTATGACGTGTTTGAGGCCCAGGCGCCATTTGGTGGCTACAAGGTATCTGGGAACGGCCGGGAGCTGGGAGAGGACAGTCTGCAGGCCTACACTGAAGTGAAAACCGTGAGTACGGGCACCTTCCTGCCTGTCTCCACTGTGACAGTCCATCAGTACTCGTTACTAGTTTCTCATTTTAAGCCAGAGAAGCTACAAGACAAGAGTAAAAACCCAGTCTGTGCTCTGCTCCAGGAAAAATAACTAGACTTGGCCATGCCTCTGCCTATACAGTCTTTTGCTGGGCTTCATGATAAGCCAAGTTCTGTAAAACGTGAGAGGAAGAAAGATCCTAGTAGCTTGAAGCAGCAAGGAAAAGCTTCTAATAAAATCAAGCGATGTGAGTAGATTCTCAAGGGCCATAAATATACCCATATCCATACTCATATTGATTTTGTAATTTCAGTGATAGGGCTATAACCCAAAGAACCAATCAGAAATACAAAGAAAGCCTCATTTCCATAACTATTCATCACAGCACTATCTCTTTAAGAGGGAAAAATCAGATGTAACTTAACATGTTCAAAAAATTGCGGAACACCTAAATCATGGAGTTCTAATAGCTACTATAATATTTTTGTAGAATATTTGATATGGAAAGTGCTCATCCTTTAAAGTAAAAAAGCAGGATTCAAAGTAACATGCAATAGGTTACCAATTTAAAAACTGCATATGCACATATATAGATACTGAGATATCTTTATTTATAAACATAAAAAAGCCAGGAAACACAGACACTAAAGTGAAAATGACCTTTTCTCTACAGTGAACACTACGGGTTAGCCAGGAGACGTAATCATAAGAGGTATTTAAAGAAAAGAGAGATGGGCGAGCTGGGCTTTCCCAGGACTGGGAACGGAAAAGCCCAGGGCAAGCAGACCAGCAGGATGAGCAGGGTGAGAGAAGGCAAACTGGTCTTCACTCAGTACTACAGTGGTGAGCCCGAGCATAAATGATTCGTAAGACACACCTACATTCTTAGGAGACTCACTAGAGTGAAACATATTTGCTCGTTTACAGATAACTTCCCCATCTGTACAAGAGGCAAGACCCAGGTTTGAAATTGACAACGGGATATCATTGGCCTAGAACTGTTCATCAGAGTGGTAGTTAAGGATGGGGTTATTTAGGTGTGGAGTGAGGGGGCAGGGATGGCTAGGATTGAGCCCAAGGAACTGCAGTATCTACGGATGGACTGGAGGGCAGTAGGAGAGTCTGAAGAGAGGAAGCTTGAGTTGAGGTGATTCGTGGAGGAATACAAGTTAACGGGCTGTTGACAGGAACTGAGACCCTGGAGAAAACAGAAGACTTTTGAGGACGAAAGTGGCAGGACCGGATGCATCAGTCCAGCACCCACACTGTGCCAAGCACTGTGCTTAGTGCTTGTGGTAAAGATTCTTGTATTTTGAGCTTTGGAACTCAAGTGATGATACTAACAAAAACGGATTTTTTCAGAAGTCGAGTTTGCAAGCAGGACTGATGAGGAAATTTCTGTTTTTAAACTCGTTTTTACTGAGTCTTACTTTGTGTCAGAATCTGTGCTAAATTTTTTTGAATATACGACCTCATTTAGTGCTTACGGCAACCCCATGAAGGAGATGCTATCCCATTTTACAAGTGAGGAAACAAGGCATGTAGAGGTGAAGTACTTGCCCAGTAGAGGGTAAAGCTGGAATTCAACCCCAAATCCAACTGAATCTGGAATCTTTCCATTTAACCCACTGAGACACCTGTCAGCTTCAACACATTTTTTTCTTTGCTTTGATTCTTTTGGAGGAAAATATGGATCTCGGTCAGGGTCTCTCAGCCTCGGCACTCTTGACATTTGGGGTTGGATAACCCTTTGCTCTGGGGGGCTGTCATGTGCAGTACAGGATTGTTGAGCATCATCCCTGACCTCCCATTGATGCCAGTAGGAATCTCATCTCCCCATCCCTTGACAATCAAAACGACTGGGTTAACAGGAGGCAGAGTGTGATCTCATGCAGGACACAGCCCTCGCAGTTCCTGGGACTGGCCAGTTGGAAGTAAGGAAACCCCTCTGCTCAGAGTGAGGCAGCAGCCAGCTGCAGGTGCCTACAGAACACAGGGCGGCATGGAGACTTAACAGCTTCTCTGTACCCCTCTTACAGGTCACAATCAAAGTTCCTCAGAAGAACTCATAAAGGACCACACCGGCTTCTTCTGTACTCATCCAGTGACAGAAAATTCAACAAGACCAACAACAAAACCAACGAGATCAACGATGAAACCTAAAAATCTCAAAAGAGAAATTCTCTCACAAAAATCTTTTGGAACAAGAAAATCCCAGAATTTGAGTTCCTATGGGGTGGGTATGGGGTGAAAAGAGTATGGGAAGTCTCTGAAATTGCAACAGTACTAGCATTCAAGGTGATTTTTCAAAAATAGATTTAAATGTCTCCTTCCGTCCATTTGATATACTTTTGTAACTTGCCTTTATGAGGGAAGAAAAAAGCCACTGTTTATAATTGTACCAACATTGAGGCCATAGCTAGCATCTTGCTTTGTATTCTGGATTAAAACTCACTGAAACAGTGCTGCTCTTCACTTTTTGGGTAACTTCCTCCGTTTCAATAACCCGAGGAAATGCCACCACATAGGCATGTCGTCCCCTGGGTTTGTATGCTAACTATTCTCCTCCCCTACTGTGGGCAAACAGCTTTAGTTTTGTGTGTTGAATTAACAGATAACTGTGGCTCATCCACCTGTGGCAGGCCTGTGCTAGGCACTACGGATGATACCAACATGAGACTCCCAGCCTCTCCCAGAGGGGCAGGTAAAGCAGGAAAGAGACACTTGACATCCAAGGCTGTCATTTTTTTTTTAAGTTCAAAAATGTGATCAAAACGAGCGAGATAGATTCATGCTGGACCAATTTCATGAGATTGATTTGGAAACCAGATGTCAGTTTACTCATTTTAAGTGAGATCCGTATTTCCAGTAACCAGACCTTTTACATCTCCTATCCAGAACACTGCCTTCCTTTAGGGGTGTGGCAAATTAATGTGTATTATTAGTAAATTAGGAATCAGAAGATTCTTTGGTGAGCAATGGAATCAGAGCAAAAGGATCTGAATCATAGTAGAAGTTTGTGGAGTTAGTGATCATGTCTGGGGCCCAGAGTCCTTTAAGAATTTGAGCAAAAGTTTGATCTTCTCTTAAGAAGAATACGCTTTGTGTATAATTTTGCAGACAGTGTCAGGGGAGTGATGAAGCTCATTGGTGACCCCTGGTCTTATATCGCTCAGGCTAAGCCACATCTTGATAAAATGGTCCTTATTTTGCTAAAGACTAATATGACTTATTTGAATAGCACTTCACACTTTTTGTCATATATGCATAAACCTGTACTATTATTTACTTTTTTCTTTAAATCAACTATTATATTCAGATAAAAATTAAATAAGCACCTTATTGCCATACTTAAAACAATAGCTTTAACTGCCAGAAATAGAAGGCATTATATAAAAGATAAGAAAAATGATGTGACTAAATTCAAATAATGAAATACAAGTAGACTTAATTGTTTAGATGTTTATATACAAATAAATCTAATCATTCTACCACTGTTCATACCTGAAATAAGTGTGCGTCACTGGGGAGACTAGGATTTTGACCAGTTGGCAACAACAGGTTATTCCAGTTCGTGATGCTTCAAGATGAAATCGAGTTCACTGCCAATAAAATGAATCTATATTTTAGCTTTCATGATAACCAGCAACAACAACGCCATGATGCGTAAACCTAGCGGCAAAGGGCAAAGCTTTGAACCCAGCCCCCTTCTCCTGTCCTGCTCTGTGGCCTCCTCCCAGGCTTCGGGTAGCACCAGGGATAGATTGGTCAGCTGAAATGGCCATGCCTGTCCTCACCGCACTTGAAATCTATTTCGATATGTTCTCTAACCTAAAGAAAATTCCTCTTGAGATTTAGGGTGATGCTTTCCGTATGTCTAACCATGCCACCAAATTAACGCCAAAACTCTCATGATGTAGGATGAGATTACTTCTAAGAGGGTTTATACAGTCTATCATTTAAGAATATTTTAGCTGCAAATGTCAAAACCAAATTCAAACCAGTATAAAAAGATGGCTCCCACATTCTAAAATCCTGGGATCTTGGCTTTGGACATGGCTTGGTTCAGAAGTTCAGAAAGCTTCCATCTGTTGATTTCAACTCTGCCACATAGCCTTCATTTTCAGGCCATACTCATCCATTTTGGTTCTGGCAGGTCTGGATCCTTAGAGGAGCCAACTGCCCTCAAGAGCTGTAGCCTCATGCCATGCCAGGCCCAAGTCCGCTGGCTAGGAGAAAGCCCCTTTTTGCTAGTTCAGGCAAAGACCTCGAGGCTCACACTGATTGGTCCAGTCGATGGAACACCTCACCCCTATCCCAACCCATCGCTGTGGCCAGAGGTATGAGATATGCTGATTCACTTAGACCTGAGTCATAACGGTCCACCCTTGTAGCCTGGAGTGACACTTCCTCTAAGTCCACCTGGGCTGAGAATAAGAGAGGGATGGATCCCCAAGAGAAACTTGGGGCTCTTGCCTTAGGAGGGGAAATGGAGACTGGAGAGTCCCCTCCTGAGCTACTGCCAACCTTTTAGTACTCCCAACCATGTTGCCAAGAACCCCATTAAGAGTGAATTGGAAAAAACAAATATAATGTTTCTTGCACTCAAGCTCTATGAATCAGACTCACTAATTTTAAGAGAATCCATTCTTTAACGAATACAAAGGAAATGCTAGCTATGAAGAGATGTCTATAATGTTGATTTGACATCCTAGACACTTATTAATCTTGTGCTTTCAGCATCAGGAACCAATTAGAACCTTTAGCTGTCTGAAGCAAAAACAAAGTTCTCAGGTTATGAACAACCTGATCTCTCTGGGTATTTGGATGTGGATCAGTCACAAGAGTATTGGGTGTAAAGCTGCTGTTTCTGCTTTTAGGCTTGCTGAGTGCCCAAGAGGAAATGCTTATACTTCTGTCTGAATCAAGGGCACAAGAGCTTTTCCTGCAGCCTGGAGAATCTGGCTGATGAGGTGTTTTTCTAAGTATAGGCGCCACCTCGTGGGCAATAAGCACAACGACAGCGCTCATCTTCTTCAGGAGCTGATAGGATACACCTATCTGCTGGGTTTGTCTCTTTCAAAGACTGTTACAACATGGGCAAAATTTAAGAAATGCAAGGCAATGCAATGAGAAAATAAAGAGGCTAGGGTCACATTAAATAACTGAAAATAAGGACTCCAACATCAACCTGTACGTGAATGTTCCCAGCAGTACTGTTTACAATAGCCAAAAGTCCATCAACACATGAATGATAAAATGTAGTGATCCACATAATGGAATATTATTTAACCGTAAAAAGGACCGAAGCCCTGACACAGGTTACAGCATAAATGAACTTCAAAAAACATGCTAAGTGAAAAGCCAGACACAAAAGGCCACACGTTGTGAGGTACCATGTATATGACATGTCCAGAATGAGTAAGTCCATAGAGACAGGAAGTAGCTCGGTGGCTCCCAGGGGCCAAGGACAGGGGGCAGGGGAGTGACTACTTAATGGGTACAGGGTGTCCCTCTGGGAAGATGAAAGTGTTTTGGAACCAGATAGAGGGTTGCACAATACTGTGAATGCACTAAGTGCCACTGAATTGTTCACTTTAAAATGTTCAATTTTATGTTGCATAAATTTCACTTTAATTAAAAAAAGCACCTAGGGTCACAGCTGTTTGGGGTAACACAGGTGAGCGGTACAACCTCTGGGCTTCCATTTCCTACTGTCGTTTCCAGCCTTCTTTCAACTATTTCGTGAAGGATAAAGGGAACCGATACTTATTTACTTATATTGATTTTATTAACTTTTGAAAATGAAATAAATACGCATGACAAAAAAATTCAGTGAGATATAAATTTGCCTCCTAATCTTGTGGCCCAAAGAAATAATATTTATCGTGTACCTCCTGAGTGCCAGGGGATGCTGATGCAGATGCTGGTCTGGCGGCCACTCTCCGAGAACCACTACCCTAGAGGAAAAAAACAAAACAAAACACATTCTTTAATCCTTCCACATAGAAACCCTCATCTCCTTCATATGAGAGGGATCAAAACTTCTTCCAGAAAGATTTGGGTTCGCTTTTCAATTTTTACTTTGAAATTATTTCAAACTTACGGAAATTTTAAGAACAGTACAACGATCTCATATATTCCACTCAGATTCACCCATTTTTAGTATTTTTCCCATTTGCTCTATCACCTTCCCACCTCCTTACCTCCTACATATATTTTCCTTTCTTCTAGACCAACTATGAGTAGGTTACAGGCATCAAGCCCGTTTACCTCAATACTTTGTGTTTGAATTTTTACCTTGGACATTCTCTTATATAACAGTTCAGTTACTAAATTTGGAAATTTAATTTGGTACACGTTGACACAATACTTGTGGGAGCTTCTGACAATGCTGGAAACATCTGAGGGACAGGATTATCCTAGGGGAAGTAGATGACATTTCCTGGTCCTTCTCTGCCTCCCTGGAGACGCTCATACCCTAGCTATGAACTAGGAAGAGGTCCCTTACTCAGCCATGCTGGCTGGCACTCTGACCTCACGTTGGCAGCCTCCAGAAAGGTGAGAAACACATTTCTGTTGAGCCCAGTCTATGAGGTTTCATTACAGCGGCCCGAACAGACTAAGATGGCACCTGACTTTCACTCATTTGACTCCTACTCACTCCTCTTCAATCCCATCGCCAGGGTTGGGGGTAAGGATATCAGTTCTGTATATTACCTGGCAATACTAATAAGAATAAAAACAATGTTTAATGGTTTATTTTCAAAGCTATATAAAAATGTCATGTACCTGTACAATGGAGGAAATCTGTTTCTCGTTCCTCAGCTAGAAAGTGGGAATCAATTGTCAAATGAGATATTATAATGCTTTGGGAATTTTGACTTTTCAGAATCTCACTTTCCACTTGGGCTTCAAAAGCCTACAAATGAAGTTATGTAATGGGTACAGAGTTTCAGTTTTGCAAGATTTAAACGTTCTAGACATTGGTTGTACAACAATGTGAATATACTTAACACTACTGAACGATATACTTAGAAATGATTTTGATGGTAAATTCTATGTTGTACTTGTTTTTTTTTTTTACCACAATAAGAAAGGAATTTTTCGAAAAGGCCACCAAGTGAGACATCTGAGAAGCAGTCCCAGGGGAGGGATGATGTTTCTGTGCCTCTGAAAGGAGGGACCTGAGCCAGTCAGGGAACAGTGAGGGAAGCGAACTGGGATTCTCTCACAAGGAGCAGAAAGGCTGGCTGCGGGCGGGCGGTTCAGGCCAGGTCAAGGGAAGCGTTCCAGCGGGGCCTGATGAGCCCCCGCAGGGATGCTGTGGAAATGCAGAGCTGCACTGTGGGCACCCGCTTGGCAAACAGTCCCTTCCAGCTCTGAGAGGCTTGAAGGATTTGAGCTGAGTCAGGTTCAGCAAATGCGAGAACTTTCCATCCGCTGACTGTCAAATTTTACTATGATATATTTGAGGAACAGAAATTTAGGTAAAAAACCAGTGTGTGCTTTTACACGATAAGAGAATACAACTTGGCGTGAACTTTCTGGTAGGAATCCACCACTACAAATGTATCCAAGAAAACAACCGGGTAAGTGTGTAAAGCATGCTGGGAAAGAGCACTATTTCTAATAGCAGAAAACTTCAAATGACTTAAACGTCCATTAAAAAAACCAGTGACCACTTAGCAGCATTCAGAGGGACAAGATATAATTCAAAGTGTCAAGCAAAAGGAAGACGTTTGGGGGGATAGGACAGGAAGTGCAGTGGGACGGGAACCGCCCCTTTCTGCTCCCCCCATCTCTGGGCACAGTGGCTTTCACTACTTTAATATTCATGAAGCAACGACTGCCTCCGCCTGGAAGCCACGACCCATGACCCACGACTGGCTTAATGTTCCAGTCTCAGTTCCCAGGAGACTCTGATGGGCCAGTCTGGGTCAGCTGTCCATTCCTGAGTCAATCAGCTGTGGCTGGAAGATTGGGGTCATGTGGCACTCATTTGTAGTTAGTTAGGCCCATACCCTAAGCTGGGGCGGTTGGGTGCTGGGCACCCTGGAGGTGTCTACTCTCGCCCATCAGTGTGGTCCAGAACCAAATGGCAACAACTGCATTACCAGACAGCTTCTTAGCAATGCAGAATCCTAGGTTCCACTGCACACCTAATGAATCAGAATCTGCATTTTAACAAAGTCCTCAGGGGTTGGTGTGGGTTAAAGTTTGAGGGACACTGGTTTATCACAAGAAAGGACAGTTGATCCCATTTCCCTCCTTCCTCCCTTCCTTCCCTCCCTCCCTTTCCTTACTAAAACAGCTTAACTGAGACATAATTCACATAACATACAATTCACCCGTTTAAAGTACACGATGCAATTTTTTTAGTTATGTTCACAGCATTGTGCATCTATCACTACAATCGATTTTAGAACATTCTCATTGCCCTACAAAGAAAGCTGTATTCCTTGGCTGTCATCCCCTTCTCTCCCCTCTC